TTCCAATTCCAATATCTTTCTTTAGATGGTTTTAGTTAGAGTCCTTTGCACTTCATGTGAATTTTAGAATAAGCTTATCTATTTCTACAAAAAAGCCAGCTTGGATTTTATTAGAAACTGTACTGAACCTGTAAATCAGTTTGATGAGTACTGCCATCTAAACAATATGTTTAAACCATTAAGGAACTGACAAGCTCAATAAATGGGATGTCCTTCCATTTATTGAGGCCTCTTTAATTCCTTTCAAGGATATGCTGTAGTTTTTGATACAAAAGCCTTGAACTTTTTAAATTAAATTTATTGCTAAGTATTTTACACTTTTTGATGCTATTATAATTTGGAATTGTTTTCTTCATTTCATTTTCGGATTATTCATTAATAGTGTATAGAAATACAACTAACTTTCATATATGATCTTGTATCCCTCAACTTTGCTGAACATGTTTATTGACCACAGTAGTATTTTTTTTTCTGTAGCACATTCTTTACAATTTTCTTTGTAGAAGATGATGTCTTCTGTGAATAGAGATAGTTTTAACTATACCAAATATTTTAATATATTCCTTCTTTTCCAATCTGGATGCTTTCTTATTTCTTTTCTTCTCCAGCTGTCCTGTCTAGAAATCCCAGTACAATGTTGAATAGTAGTGAGAATATATATCCTTGTCTTGTTCCTCATCTTACAGGGAAAGCTTTTAGCCAATTTTTTATTAATGAGATTTTTGTACATGCCCTTATAAAGGCTGAAGAAATGATCTTTTATTCATAGTTTGTTGAGTTGTTTATTTTTTAATTATGAAAAGGTGTCAAATTTTCATCAAATGATTTTTCTCTGTGTACTGAAAGTGGTCATGTGGCCTCTGTACTTAATCTGTTAACACAATATATTACAATGATTGTAATTATATTACAACAATTTTTGTATATTGAACCAACCTTGCATTCCTGAGATAAATTCTACTTGATAATATTATATAATCCTCTTTACATGTTGCTCGATTCAGTGTGCCAGTACTTTATTGAGAATTTTTGTATTTATATTCATAAAGGATATTTTCCATTTTCTTTTCTATAGTTTTCTTTCCTGTGATGTCTTTGTTTGATTTCTAGATTTATCCCTGGCCTACTGACACAGAATTTCTGGCGCTAGGTCCATGAAATATGCATTTTCTTTTCTTTTCTTTCTTTTTTTTTTAAGAAACAGACTGTGGGGGCCAGCTGGTGGCTTAGTGGTTAAGGCATTACACTCCCCCATGGCCAAATATGGCTCAAGTCCCACATCTCGTGACTTGAAAATCACACTGGGTACATATGTATGCATGCCCAAAATACTGAGAGAAGAATGGAAGAGAAGGGAATGTGACATAGCCACTTGCCTGGGGAGTGATTTCTCACTTTCCCTCTCTCTGTCTTTCTCCAGTGAGTGCATGCACCCTACAGCAAAAACCTAAAAGAAAACAACAGATAAAAACCTAGGTTATTCTAAAGTATATTTATATTTGAGAACTACTGAGCTAGGTTTTAATCTGAGATAAACTAAAGTTTAAAAATATCTGTAAAATAAGAAGTAGAGGGACCAGCAGTTAGCATAATGGCTATGTTGCTGGACTCCCACATAGTCGACCGCAGTTCGAGTCCCGGACTCGGTGGCTTAAACTCACACCGGGCGAGTGTGCATGCGTGCCCAAGATCCCGAGAGGAGAACAGAGGAGAAGGGTTTGCAGCATGGTCATCCCCACTTGGGGGTGATTTCTCACTTTCTGTCTCTCTGTCTGTCTCTGTCTGGCGAGCGCACGCACCCTGTAGCCAAAACCTCTCCAAAAAAAAATTAAAAAGAAGTAGATAGTGAGAGCTGACTTGTCCTATTATCTAGGGCGGTGGCTTGGAAACGTTTTGACTGTAATCCTTACAAAGGACTATACCATACATCATAACATAGTACACACACAGGAATTAAAGCTTCATAAAATGATATGTATCTTTTACTTCCTGTGAGTCACTTTAATATTTTTTATCCTATTCTAATTCATTTTTTCAAAACCACTGGACAACCTACTAATTTTCATAACCCTTTAAAGAATCACCAACAGGAGTTTGCAAAAACACTGACCTATAGCAATCAACCGAAATGTAAAATTCACTCGAGTAAGCATTAACCTAGGGAGAGAGAGAGTGTAAAACACTGCATACTAGTCATCGAGCAAGAGATTTTTAGAAAGATATTCCTAAAATATATGCATTTATCTGCACTGGGTAGAGTTTAATCACAATGCTGATGTCCACATGAAACGTATTTCATTTGTCTGATTGCAAATCTTATTAGCAACAACGAAGACCTGCAGGTTCAGGAGGACGCACACTGGAGTGAAAGGCTGGCCCTGTGTTCCGACTGTGAGTCCTGGAACTTCCCGTGTGCCAGAAACGACAACGTGAATCAGGGCTTTAAGCCTCAGTTTGCTCATTTATGAAGGGAGACAAATAAGAAAATCTATCTCATTTTGTTACAATGAATATTAAATAAGATAATTCATGCACATAATAGCTATTATTGAAAACTATGAACAGAAGTTTTGCCACCTTACAACAATGATAAAAATACATTGAAACACACACACACACACACACACACACACACACGTTTATACCTAGATTACCATGTGTACCAATTTGCTACCTTTCTGGTATTAGCTTTTTCCTGATGAATAGGCTTTGGCGGTTCTCTGGGCAAGGCGCCATGACAAGTGCCGTCGGTACAGAGGTGGGTACATGGCATCACCTCCTGAACACTCCTCCATCTGGCCCCACAGTTAGGACGGGTGAAGGGAACATCAACCACCAATTGTGTGCCCAGTGCCAAACACAGGAAGTGCTGACAGTGAGGATGTCGGAGTTCAGGAAGGGAGGATGGGAACAAGGCAGAGCCCCTGAGGTGGGCTTTGTTGTGGGGGACAGGGGGGTGCCGGGGTCTAAGGGAACAGAAAGGAACGTGGAGGGAATCCAAGGAGAAGAGAATACTGGGTGAAGCCCAAGCTCAGTTGGGGAGAATAGAACTGTAAAGACAAGGGCAGAAGTAAGTGCCAGTGTGGTGCAGCAAGGTAGTGGGAGAGTCGCCTGGGAGGTGCATGGTGGGGGTGTGGTGCCGGCTGGGGGGGGGTGGAGAGCATTCCTGTGGGGTGGTCTGGTCAGAGCACCCCTGCGAGGGGGCAGGACATGTCCCTAAGCATCAGGGACATGGACATCCTAGGTGTCTCTAGCAGAGTTAGGATGGCAACACAGAGAAGTGGAGTTCAAATCAGTTTTGCCAACATTCACGTAGCATGACGGGAAAGCACCCCTCCACTCCATCTCTAACAAAGTTTTCGATGGGGTGGCTGGGTGTTTTCCAAAGTTTTAGGTAAACCGTGCCCACCACTCAGATGAGTTTACTTTTCTTGCTGAGAGTATCCATCATTCGCTCACCAAGCAGTCTGTGGTTGAGCACCCAGCTCACCAAGTAGCTGCCCATGCAGAAGAATCTCCGTCAGAACTCAGCTCTGCAGCTGCGGCACAGAGCAGCCACACAATACGTAAGGAAAGCACGTGCGTGCATTCCGGTACAACTTCTTTCTTTTTCTTTTTTAATTGCCAGAGGACACATGAACTTTCCAGAGAGAGAGAAAGAAAGAGAGAGAAAGAAAGAGAGAGAGACCCCCGCCCCCCAAATGTGGCATGGTCATACTGCAATCCTTTTTCCTCCATTTCTCTATCCCAGCAGAATTTGGGGCACCTGTGCACACATGCCCAGTGTATTTCTAAGTCACTGGGACAAGGATTCAAACCTCAGTTGGCCACATGGAGGAATACAGTTTCCAAGGCACAGTGCCTAACCACTCTGTTATGGAACTGACCTGCCAACAAAATTTTATTTACAAAAACAGGTGCAGGTGGGAGACCAAACTTGGCCAGTGGGCTACTGTGGTTTGTGACCTTTGTTATAGAATGTCTGAATAACTCTAATTCTGATCTCGTGTCCCCAATAAAAAAGTAAGAACAGAGTATGAAAATAAATAGAAAACACGCTCCCTCTTGGAACCTCGGCTTGCCGCTGACTTTCACCTATTCCATGTATTACCACTTACAGAAACTCAGAGCAGAGGGCCTGGCTATACACATGGACCCATCCAGACCCCTTCTGCTGCTACCACTGGCCGCCCTCAGAGCTTCACTTCCATAGAAACTACCCACCTGACCTCTGAACCGAAGCCCTGCGTGGAAAACCAAGGGGCAGCGTGGGAGTGCCATCGGATTCCTCACTGGCAGAAGCCACCGCAGGGCTTCCTGTTTGTTTATTTTGATGGGAGAAAAGTCCATCTATGCTGCCTTTGAATGTATTTGTTCCCCGTGTAACTGGTCAACTGGGTATAAACGAGCAGCCATAGGTCTGAAGTTTTGGTTCAGTTTTTCCTGTTCATCTGAGTAGGTTTAACCAAGGCTACTATCTTAGCCATCCCACTGGCTTCCCTGTAATATCTCCAAATGCATATAAGAATGAAAGCCGAAAGGGAAGACCATTGCTACGTGGGTGAGATCTGGGCATGGGACTCACGCAGAGCCTTTCAAGCCGTGGCTTCGACGGTGCTCTCTGCACAGCCGTGCTCCTGGGGATCGCCCCTCTGCCACGCCAAGCCTCGAGTCTGCGGGGCTGGGAGCGAGTCCGTCTAGCTGTGGGGAACTCAAGGAGGCCCACGCTCCTCGCCCTGGCAGCTCAGGGCAGCTTATCTCCACAGGCAGAGCCACCTCCCCTATGCAAGCAGTCCAGTGGCAGGTGGCAGATGGGTGGTCTCCTTGGGAAGGCGGACACACACTCCCCCTACACTCTGCCAGCCAGCAATCCATCAATCACTCCATCTCCCAGTTCGCCCACCAGGTCCAGGAGAATAAGGGCCCGGCACCAGCAGGAGCTCTGGCCTCGGATGTGCGCTCCGGGGCCCAGCTCCTGGGCACGGCCCTGCTGGGCTCACCTGGAGGTGTTTTCAAGGATTCCTTTGACTTCGCTCATTTCTTCTTTCCCAAAGTAGACGACGGTGAGATGGACTCGCCCATCCTGCTGGATGCACGTCTCCCTGGAAACGACAAAACACGCGTCTGCTTCCTGCCCCACAGCAGCGGGCGAGCACAAGGGGCACCTTTCTCAGAAAGTGCCGAAGGGTCTTGGAGGAAACTGAGTGGACAGCCAGGAGGGCAGAGATGGGCGGGGTGTCTCTGGATGGCCACCCCCTCACCTGCCCAGTATTTGCGTTTCTCTTATGAGGAAGATGATGGCACTTACCACGAACGGCCGGGGCCTTGAAAGACGGACAGGTTTAAAAAGGAAGAAGGGAGGAAGGAGGGATTCCAGGTGGAAGAAATTCCACGGAGGATGATGTGACACTGGGGAGGGACACACAGGGCCCATCCCAGTGACAATCCTGGCTCTAGGAATTCTGTTTCCTTCCTATGTTAGATCTGCCTCGGACCCCAGAGAGACAGCGGTGCTCTTAGTAGCAGACAGGGGACCGTGAACGCAGGCCTGGAGTGTGACCACAGACTTCGGATCCCAGAACTCCGTCACAGCTGGGAGCCTGCAGGCTGGATTACCACCTACTGACAACCAGGCTCTCCGGGCACAGAAGCCCTCTTCAGGAGCCTGCCAGAGAATGCTTCACCGTCCTCGGCCAGGGTAGAATGACAGCACACAGGCCTAACCTGGCAATACTGCGCTTCAAAAGTCCAGGTAGAGCTGGAAAAATCCCTCCCTGAATCAAGAGAGGCTCACCCGCTGAGCCTGAATAAAAGCCCTCTCATTCAAAGATGTTTCCCTAAGGGTTTTGCTGTTTCCTCCTCTAGTGCTATTTCACCCATTCACAGCACTTCCTGTTTTCAAAACACAACAGAGAGGCAATGGGCCTACTTTCTTTGTGGTCAGCTGAGGCTTCTAGAAAGGCAAAGCAGAGTATGTGAGGCCCACCCTCCAGGGCTCCATGCGTTTATTCATTTCCCGCTCAAGGAACATTTGTCCCCAACATACCACGGGCCTGGTGCTCTACCAGGAGACCTTACAACAGGAAAGTGACATGCCAGCTCTGGAGGGGCACTCTGTCTGCCGCGAGGCCCCCAAGCCTGCACAAGGTGACTGATACATGCTCTAGGAGGACAGGACCATGACACAGTGGAAACACCATCGCCACCTCAGTCTTGGTTTCCTTTGTGTTTTTCAAAACGGCTCCCGCTAGACTCCATCCTCTAAAAAGGTGTGGGGAAAGGAGGATTTACCTGGTATGCGGTGACAGCATACTGGGCTGTGTCTTTGTTTTGGAGGTAAAAGTTTAAAAAGTAAAGTGAGGGACCAGCAGGTGGGATGGTAATTAAGGCACTTCACTCTCACCTGGCTGACTGGTTCAAGTCCCAAACCTGACGCCTTGAAAATCAAACATGTGCGTGTGTGTGTGTGTGTTCCCAAGACCAGAGGAAAGAATGGAGGAGAAGGGATTGCTGTGTGGCCATCCCCTAAGGGGAGTGATTTCTCACTTTCCCTCTCTCTGTCTCTGTCTCTCTCCGGTGAGAGAATGTACTCTATGGCAAAAAAGTTCTTAAAAGAACAAAGTAAAGTGAAAGGGATGAGAAGGGAGGAAACAAGATAAAGACCAACTGGAAGGAGTCGAAATAAAAGTCGAACAAGTCTGGGATGAAATGAGAAAGATTAAAATAAACCCTGGGGACCAGGCTGCAGGTCAGCACTAATGGAACTGTGTGCACGTGGGAAAGGACCTGGGTTCACATCCCAGGACCTCCCTGAGTGTGCCAGGTGTGTGTGCACGTGCCCGTGGCCAGAACAGTTGAAACTGCAGGTGCGCAGTGCGAAGACCCTGTTGTGGGCAGACACAATTAATTCTCCTGTCTCTCGGAAAAATTAATAAATAACCTTCAATCAAGTTGTTTAACTCACAAAGAATATTTTCCATAGAAATTCTTCCCCTCCACCCTGGGAGAGGCTCAGACATAAAGACCCAGAGAAAAATCTAGAGCTCTCCTGCTGTCATAGACGACATCCACGAGGGAGGTACCTCTGCCAGAGAGCCTAAGAAACAGCCACACAGAAAGGAGAGGAGTGTCAAAGGCGGAGTGAGGTGACTTTCAACAAAACAAAGAAGGAAGGTGTAAGCCAGGGCCACTGCACAGAAGGGAAATACAACAGGAGCGAAGCTGCAGCCGGCCCTCCAGGTGAGCCCCCTCCGTTCCCACCCTCAGGCACCCCAGGGAAACACGTGGGTCATTCGTGGGAGACGAGTGTCGCGTGACGCCTGTGAGGTTCCCACGCGGGCCAGGACAAGGACAGCCAGAAGGAAATAAAACATGTTCAGTGTCACCCACAGTAGGCGACTTCTCTTCTCAGGATGGAAAGGCCCCTATACTTCCTCCCAGGGTGAGGGCTGGGCCTTCACTGAGCAGACACCCCCTCGGGGTACGCACTACCCACCAAGCCGACATGGTCAGCACTGCCCTACGTACTGACAAAGCTCCGGGCCCAAATCTGGCCGGCTGTGGGCAGCTTCTCAGCAAAGGAACCCACTCCACCCTGGCCCTTGGTGTGGACATACAAGTCGTGGAGAGTACTGGCTGGATTTGATGCCCAGTGCCAGCCTCGGGCTCAGTCGTCCTCGGGATGAAGCTCTTAATCCACCAGTGTCATTCTACCATTCCAGAATACTGGGAGGGGGGGAGAGAGAGAGAGAGAGAGAGAGAGCGAGCACAGTACCAAGGAAGGTCGAAAGCACCCAGGACCACACACACTCACTCTCGTCCTGCCGACACTGTGCAGGTGACAAGGTGCTCCACCATCTGGGGACAGACGAACAGATGAGCCCACCCCGAAGCTGATAACATGGCAAAAGACAACTCCAGCCAGTAATTACAATTCAACAGCTCAAGAGCTGGGACTATGAAACGTGAGTCCCTGGACCTGGGGAAGAAAAGGCAGGGGAGCCGCCATGGCTGCTTGACGACTCAGAAGGTTATGATGTGTTAGAGGAAACGGATTTGTCCAGTCACTTCTCCAAGAGCCAGAACCGGTCCCTCTCGGTGGGAACAAAGGAGAACGGACTTCGGGCCACTGGCCAGCCAAGCAGCTGCCTGCCCGGGTGGGTGCGGATCCCTGGTTCACACACGTTGCCGGGAGAACCACGCCACAGAGAGGCCACGGAGGGACTCCAGGTTAAGGGAGCAAAGGGCTCTTCTCATACTATTTGATTCTGATCTTTAAAAACCTAATTATAAATTAGTTTTACTCTTTAAACAAACAAACAAAAAGACAGGAGTTGATGAATCAGAATTTAGAAATACTTATGTTTAAGCCCATGTATTTCATGAGAGAGAGGCACCTCTAACGGGGTCTTCACACTATCACCCGCCCAGTCTCGCTGGCCCAGATCGAGAGCACACATGCCTGGTGCGCTCCAGGAGACCCACATGGGCCCATTTGCGTTACTCTGTGCCACTGCCTGGTCCCATGAACCAAATGGAGAGGAGTCAACCACCTCCTTGCACCCAGCACTGCTGCCTTTCAAGAACATTGAGGTTAATGGTGAAAGATGAAAAATAAGCTTGAGCTTCAAGGGTTTAAAATGAGATACTAGGACTTCCTATCTCTAAGATGAGTTGGACAAGTAAGTTAGCTGGTCAACCACAGCCAATAGGTGACTGTTGGCCAGAACAGCTTGGGAGACCTAGCATGGACACACGGAGTAACTACATTCATGCTCCATATCAGCAACACAAAGTGAGTCCCCACCCGGTCTACCAAAAACGAGTGCTTGCACCCTTCTTGGCATTGACTCTAAGTTTGATCTCTGAGGAGGTATGGGTTAGAGTAAAAATGGATTCTGGAACCAGCCGACAGTGTAAGGTTCCACTGCTGGACTCCCACATAGTTGACCACAGCTCAAGTCCCGGACCTGGTGGCTTAACACTCATGCTGGGTGTATATGTGTGCGTGCCCAAGATCAGAATGAAGAGAAGGTATTTCGGCGTGGCCATCCCCCCAGGGGGTGATTATCCTGCTTTCTGTCTCCCCCATGAGTGTATGTACCCTATAGCAAAAATCTCTCTCTAAAAAGGAATAAAACGTGGATTCTGAATCCATCCATTCTTCTGCTCTGAAGACCGAGAACGCGGCTCCTCCATCCTGAGTCCCCATTCCACTGCCCACACCGAGCCCCAGTGCAAGTCCGAGCCAAGCACAGCAGGCCCTCCCTGTGGATTGTGATGGAAGTCTCCTTCCTCGTTTTCAGTTCTGGAGGTAAACATTCGCAGGTGAGAGTGTTCGGATTGCTTTAGAGAAAGGTAAACAGAAATGAGCGACTTCATATGAAGACGACAGAGTTGAACAAGGGGAGAAGGGGCGCTCTATACTCGGCAGGGGAAGGAAGGGGTGAGGGGAAGCGACAGCAGCACCCGAACACCCATGTGCTCTCGAGCACGCGCAGGCAGACCCACCTGAAGTTCTGCATGAACTGCCGGAACTTGTCCACCCGCCTGGCCAGCGGCACGATGATGTTGATCAGCGTGCTTGCCATGTTGAGCTTCTCCTTCCTCACCTTCATGATGGGGCCGAACGGTCGAAACAGAACGAGGCGCTTGAACTCGTGCTTCTGGTCGCCCCTAAAGGTGAGCTCGTATAGGGTGCCTTTGTCCTTCTCTGTCCGGTAGATCCCTGCGAACAGAGACACAGACAGATGGCTCTGAGGTTAACCTCGGCTGCCAAGTGCTTACATAACCCAACTCTAGAGCATGGTGCCTCTTAAAAGACGAGGGGGTGGCCAGCAGATGGCGTAATGCTTACGTCTCTGGACTCCCACGTAGTCGACTACGGTTCGAGTCCCGGACCTGGCAGCTTAAACCTCACTCTAGGCGTGTGTGTGCGTAGATCCCAAGAAGACAATGGAGAAGTAGGGACTGTGGCATGGCCATCCCCCTTGGGGGGGGTGTGATTCCTCACCTTCTGTCTCTGAGGCAAGCACACGTACCCTACAGCAAAAATCTCTCTTAAAAAAAAAAATGACTAGGGGGCCAGATGGTGGCACAGTGGTGCATTGTTCTGTGCACTGACCCACATGGGAGGGTTCTGGGTTCACATGTGGAGACCTCCCTCAGTGCACTGGACACACACCTGCTCACGACCCAGGGACGGCCAAACTGGGGGGGACCGTGGTGAGCAGAGCCTATTGGCGGAGCTGTCTCTCTCACTCTCTTTGTGCCTGTCTCTCTTGCTCAAGGAAGAAAGACATACAACTCTAAAACATTTTAATTAAGTTAAACATCTACATCTAACAATTATTAGAAAATTCAAAATGCTCCATATTAAAAATACAAAAAGAAACCAAAATACCATCAGTTTAAAAATCACAGTTATGAAGGCTTCATAAAAACATGGAGAAAAAGCTCGTATTTATATTTATACCACACAGAGGCATTTAACAACCGTATTTAGACGACACAGAGGCATTTTAAAAAGGACTGTTAGGAAATATGCCAAAAATAAGACTGGCCATAATGTGCAGTGGGAATTTTATGGTTTTTTTTTCTTTTCTGCTATTATCTAAATTTCCTGCAGTATGACTAGAAGGCTATTAAAATCATTATATTTCTTTCATTTTAAAAGCACATGTCCAAATGATCTCTTAGACACCACTGCCATTCTGGATGGATCGGAGTGGTCTCTTCTCACCTGGCATAGCTCAGGGCTAGCACATGGCCCTCGGGAGCTTCTGGAAGCATTGAAGCAGACGATACAGAAAGCACTCACAAGGCACGGTGGCAGCGCGCACCGTATTTACTTTTGAACCTTCCTCCCTACTTCAGACCAACATGACTCAGTGCTTCCTAGCTAAAACCCTCAAGCCAGACTGCCTAGGTTCGAATCCTGGTCCCACAGGTGTACTCTGGGCAAGTACTTAACCACTGTGTGCCTCGTTCTCGGGGTAAGTGCACGGATCTAAGCACACAGGAGACCCTCAGTAAATGCCAGCGGCCCCCTTCCTGCTGCCCTCAGCCCTGTGGGGACAGGTACACCGTGAGGGTGTGAAGCGGAGAGATGTCTTCCAGCTGCCCACCCCATCTCCCTGACGCTCCACGGTCTGTCTGTGGCGGGGCTGAAGATGGGAACCCGCACCTCATTCAGCTCTCAGGACAGGCGGACAGGCCTCCCAGGCCCGCACGGCAGAACTTACCTTTCTAATGATGAGGTTAATGGTGAAAGATGAAAAATAAGCTTGAGCTTCAAGGGTTTAAAATGAGATACTAGGACTTCCTATCTCTAAGATGAGTTGGACAAGTAAGTTAGCTGGTCAACCACAGCCAATAGGTGACTGTTGGCCAGAACAGCTTGGGAGACCTAGCATGGACACACGGAGTAACTACATTCATGCTCCATATCAGCAACACAAAGTGAGTCCCCACCCGGTCTACCAAAAACGAGTGCTTGCACCCTTCTTGGCATTGACTCTAAGTTTGATCTCTGAGGAGGTATGGGTTAGAGTAAAAATGGATTCTGGAACCAGCCGACAGTGTAAGGTTCCACTGCTGGACTCCCACATAGTTGACCACAGCTCAAGTCCCGGACCTGGTGGCTTAACACTCATGCTGGGTGTATATGTGTGCGTGCCCAAGATCAGAATGAAGAGAAGGTATTTCGGCGTGGCCATCCCCCCAGGGGGTGATTATCCTGCTTTCTGTCTCCCCCATGAGTGTATGTACCCTATAGCAAAAATCTCTCTCTAAAAAGGAATAAAACGTGGATTCTGAATCCATCCATTCTTCTGCTCTGAAGACCGAGAACGCGGCTCCTCCATCCTGAGTCCCCATTCCACTGCCCACACCGAGCCCCAGTGCAAGTCCGAGCCAAGCACAGCAGGCCCTCCCTGTGGATTGTGATGGAAGTCTCCTTCCTCGTTTTCAGTTCTGGAGGTAAACATTCGCAGGTGAGAGTGTTCGGATTGCTTTAGAGAAAGGTAAACAGAAATGAGCGACTTCATATGAAGACGACAGAGTTGAACAAGGGGAGAAGGGGCGCTCTATACTCGGCAGGGGAAGGAAGGGGTGAGGGGAAGCGACAGCAGCACCCGAACACCCATGTGCTCTCGAGCACGCGCAGGCAGACCCACCTGAAGTTCTGCATGAACTGCCGGAACTTGTCCACCCGCCTGGCCAGCGGCACGATGATGTTGATCAGCGTGCTTGCCATGTTGAGCTTCTCCTTCCTCACCTTCATGATGGGGCCGAACGGTCGAAACAGAACGAGGCGCTTGAACTCGTGCTTCTGGTCGCCCCTAAAGGTGAGCTCGTATAGGGTGCCTTTGTCCTTCTCTGTCCGGTAGATCCCTGCGAACAGAGACACAGACAGATGGCTCTGAGGTTAACCTCGGCTGCCAAGTGCTTACATAACCCAACTCTAGAGCATGGTGCCTCTTAAAAGACGAGGGGGTGGCCAGCAGATGGCGTAATGCTTACGTCTCTGGACTCCCACGTAGTCGACTACGGTTCGAGTCCCGGACCTGGCAGCTTAAACCTCACTCTAGGCGTGTGTGTGCGTAGATCCCAAGAAGACAATGGAGAAGTAGGGACTGTGGCATGGCCATCCCCCTTGGGGGGGGTGTGATTCCTCACCTTCTGTCTCTGAGGCAAGCACACGTACCCTACAGCAAAAATCTCTCTTAAAAAAAAAAATGACTAGGGGGCCAGATGGTGGCACAGTGGTGAAATGCATTGTTCTGTGCACTGACCCACATGGGAGGGTTCTGGGTTCACATGTGGAGACCTCCCTCAGTGCACTGGACACACACCTGCTCACGACCCAGGGACGGCCAAACTGGGGGGGACCGTGGTGAGCAGAGCCTATTGGCGGAGCTGTCTCTCTCACTCTCTTTGTGCCTGTCTCTCTTGCTCAAGGAAGAAAGACATACAACTCTAAAACATTTTAATTAAGTTAAACATCTACATCTAACAATTATTAGAAAATTCAAAATGCTCCATATTAAAAATACAAAAAGAAACCAAAATACCATCAGTTTAAAAATCACAGTTATGAAGGCTTCATAAAAACATGGAGAAAAAGCTCGTATTTATATTTATACCACACAGAGGCATTTAACAACCGTATTTAGACGACACAGAGGCATTTTAAAAAGGACTGTTAGGAAATATGCCAAAAATAAGACTGGCCATAATGTGCAGTGGGAATTTTATGGTTTTTTTTTCTTTTCTGCTATTATCTAAATTTCCTGCAGTATGACTAGAAGGCTATTAAAATCATTATATTTCTTTCATTTTAAAAGCACATGTCCAAATGATCTCTTAGACACCACTGCCATTCTGGATGGATCGGAGTGGTCTCTTCTCACCTGGCATAGCTCAGGGCTAGCACATGGCCCTCGGGAGCTTCTGGAAGCATTGAAGCAGACGATACAGAAAGCACTCACAAGGCACGGTGGCAGCGCGCACCGTATTTACTTTTGAACCTTCCTCCCTACTTCAGACCAACATGACTCAGTGCTTCCTAGCTAAAACCCTCAAGCCAGACTGCCTAGGTTCGAATCCTGGTCCCACAGGTGTACTCTGGGCAAGTACTTAACCACTGTGTGCCTCGTTCTCGGGGTAAGTGCACGGATCTAAGCACACAGGAGACCCTCAGTAAATGCCAGCGGCCCCCTTCCTGCTGCCCTCAGCCCTGTGGGGACAGGTACACCGTGAGGGTGTGAAGCGGAGAGATGTCTTCCAGCTGCCCACCCCATCTCCCTGACGCTCCACGGTCTGTCTGTGGCGGGGCTGAAGATGGGAACCCGCACCTCATTCAGCTCTCAGGACAGGCGGACAGGCCTCCCAGGCCCACACGGCAGAACTTACCTTTCTAATGAGTAAATGACTTCCCTGACACCGAACACTCATTTCTTTCCAGTATTGCTGCTATTCCAGTGTTTTCTCTACAGTCAGAAAAAAATGCCACCACTAAAATTCGATGAACCACCAGATAAGCTTTTATTTTAATTCATACCGTGTTTTCTATTGTGTGTCTTT